CAATGAAGCCCCTGTGGGGTGTGGGTGCCTCTTCATAACCTCAAGGAATCACCTTCTCAAGAAGACAAAGTTCACTATGAAAAATCAGGATGGCTCTTAGGAAAGAAGCTCCTGGGCACTCTTTGTGGTACATGGCTCTGTGGTCACATCTGGCCCATTTAGATGATGATCTCATTAGTTAGTTTTCCAATCATTATTTTTGACTCCAAAATACTTGGGTCCACAGGAGAGAGGACTTGAATTTCTCATCTCGTACAGCTAGTAGCAGACACCACTTTCTGGGATTGGGATTTACTTATTAATAGGTTTGGATTTATAAGCCCAGTCACATGTAGGTAAAGTCCTGCCTCTTGAGTTCCAGGATATTATAGGACATGTGGTTGTATCAAAGGCACTAAGGAAGGTCCTCTTGGCTCCACAGTCTTAGACCAGTGGAGGGCTTTATTCACAATGATAGTCTGAGGAAGGTGAACCTGGTACCATTGAATTAAAACTCCTATCTCAAATAGCAGTATATATAGAATACCACTGAAATACTAACTGTTTATATGTCATGTTATCTCAAATTCTTTTTGTATCTGACATCTCAGAATCTGTATAGTCTAAATCAAACTTAATCACGTGCACTCTGGACGGCTTTAGTAACAACCTCACTGGTCCATCTGTAGCCACTGCTGCTTCTCCAGAAGACCTTAAATGCCGATGTTATCACATCCGGGGCTAAGCACCCCCATAGGTGTTGGTCTTAGGACAAAGTTGTGGTTGTCAGGGCCCAACTCCCTGTCCAGTTTGTGTTGTACACTCTCCCTCTTGCTCTCTGTGCTTCGGCTATTCAGGCCTTATTGTGGTTACTTTCTGCACTGGGATCCCTTCTTCCACAGCCCCTTTGCACAGACTACCCCTCCCAAGTGATGCTTGTTTCTCTCTTCATAATTTCTTATTAGACATCACCTGGATTTAATCTAAGTATTAATTTTCCAGAGATACCTTTTCTGATTTCTCAGCCCAGTCAGGTCTTCTGTGATATGCTCTCATGACTTTAGGTAATTTTCATTTTTGCCAATAATTAAACATTGGTGATATTATTACTTTCTTGATGTCCATCTCCTTTACTAGACTGTGAAGTCCAGAAAAATAGAGCATGGATCTATTGCTAACCATTCCTCTGTACCTAACACTGTGCCCAGAACACAGTGGGAACTGAGTTAAGGTCTGTTGGATGAGACAATCACTGCAAAGTACTTGTTGTTATACCCATTTAACAAATGAGGAGACTTAAAGTAAAAGTCAGTCTTCATTCACTGCTGACTAGAATTTACAAAAAGTTTGCACTCTGATGTTAAAGTTTGAGGTGTTGCTGTTTTCATTCTATGAGGGTCACGTGGTCTCACAAGGCTACAGGACCACCTGTGTTAGTGTCATTTGGGAACACTTGGTGGGAGGTCATTTGAGCTAATGGAGGACATACATTTTACTGTAAGAAAATCATTGGGTTTGAACCTGTCGCCAGTCCAATTCTCACCTCAATATGTAAAATACATTGCTCATTTTGCTCATTCAGTGGGGGTAGGTAACTCCCTTCTGAGCTTCCTTGGTGCTCTGTCAGGGTACAGTGAACTTTACCTGCTCTGCTATTCGTAAGATTTCCTTTACATGTCTGTATCTCTATGGCCCAGGTCCTGTATACAGAGCTTGGTTGGGTTTTGGTGACTCTTTATGAAAATTGCTGATTAGAAGCATGTGGGTGGTTGTTAGTGTACCCCAGTGCACTAACACTGAGTCACCTGGTTTAGGGTGAGTCATCAAATGTCATGGATGATCAGAATGGACAAGTTTGTGAATCTCCAGGCCAGAGACTCAGTGGCATTTATTGAAGATAGCCAACTGGAATTGGACTCATCTTTTTTTGTGAATGAGAGCAGCTTTGGTTTCTGCCACTGGGAATGAGAGCTGACCCTGCCACTGGGGAATTCCTGCTCTGCCCCCACCTAAGGGAAGCTTGTAGAGTCTAAGATCAGGATAGACTTCCATGTCTGGGGGAGTTTTGGAGAAAAAGCTAAGGGTTGTCACAGTTATTTATGGAGACCTATACCCCAGCACAAGAACAGTCAGTCAGCTATTGATCTGCTTCTTTCTGCCAAATGTAGTAACAGGAACACTTTCTTTCCTGATTCCGCATGCTGCATGGAGGGCCAAGTCAATTAAATTTTTCTTGAGTTTTGCAGATGGTACATTGCCTTGCATTCACTTATTAATTCATTTACTTCCTCAGTAAGTACTGACTGTTTATGGATATAACACAATGCCAGTTCTGGGGGAGGTCACATGAGGAAAATGTTATACAGGCACGCTGAAGAGCTTAGAGATCCGAGCAGACAGTATATACACCCCAAATGTCAGTGCCTGAACATTTTGTGATTAAAAAGGGTCTGAGGCAGACATTTGAGCTAGATGACTTGGTGAATTCTAATTAGTGTGTACGCTGGAAAAGTTGCGTTCCCTCTGAACACCTCAGTCTCCTGACCTGAACATTTCTATTCTGTGAATGATAATAAACACCATCACAGGATTTCTGTGAGCATTAAGTGAGGTTGTTCCTATAAGGCATTTAGTACAGAGCCTGTAATAAAAATTCTAACACGTGTTAGCTGTTATAGAAAAGATAGCAACATGGTGAGCAAGCAAGTAGGGTTGAGACTGAAGGACACAGAGGAGTATAGAGAAGTGGAGATTGATGTAGTCATAGGCCATTGTGAAAGAATGCCGTAGGAAGGTAGAAACTCATCTTGAGAAGGGAGAAGGATGATATGGGTGTGTGGGTGGTGCTGAGGATGGGAGCTCCAGGTAGGGGTGGGCATACTTGCTATTTGAAATGTGGAGAAACAGTCCATTACTGGCCTGTACCCTCTCTTCCATTCCTCAGGCTGCAAGGCAGGCTGATACATTAATTGGTTGTGTCCAACCGTTCCCCCTCGATCCCTGCATTCAGCAAGTGTGGTGATTTATCGTCATGGACCAAATGTTCCAAAATGCCAGTTGCAGTGCTTGGGAGTCTAAATTTAGTACATGAGTCCTGAGTATTTAGAACTTAAAGGGAAATTTCTAGATTCTGAGATCAGGTTAAGACCATTTTGTCCCTTTAACTGCAGTTAACATTTTCCTTGAGAAATTCCAACCTTTAACAGCCTCTATTTGACAACTTGCTGGCCAATATTTATGTTCCGCTCCATTAACATCACGAAGGCTGACTATCCATTTTAAAAGATACGCATTTGACTGGGAGAAATCATTGCTGTTTGAGCATTTCACATTCTCATGCACACACACACACACACACACACACACCCTCTTGGGTTGATACATGGCATGCTTCTAAACGTCTGTATATGTACTTGGTCCCCTCAAAAAGCAGTCATCAGTGATGTCTGTTCCTGATGTGACCTCATTTGACATTTTCTTCAAGTCTTCATTTTCCCCTAATTTGGCTCTAAGTCTTCCGAGGAACTTTAAGGTTCTGCTTCTTGTTTTCAGAGTTAACCATTTGAAATACATTTTGCTATAATTTTCCCTAGTTAGGAGTCATATGAATTTTAGAGTTAGGATTGAGAGTATTGTATAACCTCAAAGACGCAGACATGGATCTTGGAACCCATATGGGAAGAGAAATTAATGTGTCCTTTTAACCTTACATCCATGGGTTATTGATAAGAAAAGTCCAGTGTGATGAGCCACCAAATATGAATTGTACTGTTTTACAAGTTTAGGGCCCTTCAGGAAATACGTATTTATGGGAAAATATGATCCTTTTCAGAGGTATGTGTGAATGGGTGAGTCATCTTTATTTAAGAAGTGGTAAGAGCTATTGATGCTTTCTCCAAAAAAACACATGTAAACACCCTATGCAAGCTTTCTGTACAGCGTTTATTCTGTTGTACTGAAATACATTTTCATTCATAATGCCCAATCTCTCAGAGACTCATGGTTGCCTTAATGTTAGTTTTGAAACCAAAAGTTAATATCATGTCCTCAAAATCTTGCTAAGTCAACACATGAACATCAAAGTAAACTGTAATTCAGTTGAAAAATAACTTTCATAAGAAGGTTGCTGTTGGTTGGGTAGAACAAGTGATTGAAACTTTTTTTGGCATCATGCAGAAATCTTTCATGTGCTGTCAGGTTAGAGTTTCCATTTCGGTGACAAGGACAGACTTATCTTTTAGTAGTATTTGCTAGGCAAAGAGCATGGTCTGATCGATGAGGTCAGGGTTGCCCACTGAGAACTTTAAAACATTTGGAGTTGAATTCATAGAATGTGATTTTGTTTGTGGTTCAGTGAAGTCAGCTTTGTCAATGTCTGAAGGGAAGAATCAGCTGTGTATTAAATCGAAGGTTTTCTAATAGGACTTATCTTCATGGATTTCTTTGCTTGAATTTACATAACAGCTGGTTAAACTTTCTTACTCTGGGTTCTGGTCTCTGAAGAGCCTTTGCTTAACTTCCCATGAGCACATAGCTGTCTTCATTCACATACATTTATTTTAAGCATAATCAAAAGTGGGACTTGCTAGGTCTTGAGACAAGAGTTGTAGTTCAGGAAGACGGTCGGAACTTCCAGTAAAGTACCACAAGACATGAATGAGCTTTCTGTTGGATTAGTCTCAGATAGCTGGTCACCAAGGGAGGAAAAACCATCTGCCTATAGTTAATCAATCGACTGAAAATGTGAAGGTTGGGAAAGCAGGAAACCTTTATGTGTAATTCTTGACAAATCCTGTCTGCAGGGCTTGATTCCAAACCCCAAGTCTGTTAAGTTGAAGTGAGCTTGACTTATTTTAGAATTATTTTTCATATTACACGGTACCAGTGTGATACATGAAGATTTGTTTCTGTAACAAAATGGTAAGACAATACGCTTGTTGGAACAGCAGTGTGCTCTCTCTGTGTTATGACATCATCTTGTTATTTCCAAGTTCTATAAAGAAATATTCCTTATTTTACAGGTCTTTTAACTTCCAGAGGAACCTCATGAAGTTGGCATTGGCACAACACAACTAGACAATGGCTGTTCTTAGAACTAAATTCATTCATTATATACTGAGGGGAGCTCACCTGGTTCAGGTAATTCTGAGACTGTGTTTGAGTGGGAGGAAAGTCATTGGCTCTGGCTGTGGAACACTCCTGTTGGAGATAAGCACTCAGCATTTTCTTTCTTTCTTTCTTTCTTTTTTTTGGTTTTACGAGACAGGGTTTCTCTGTATTGTTTTGGAGGCTGTTGGTCCAGCCCAGCCTCGAACTCACAGAGATCTGCCTGCCTCTGCCTCCTGAGTGCTGGGATTAAAGGTATGTGCCACCACCACCCGGCTCTTTCTTTTTATTTAAATTAGAAATAAGCTTGTTTTACATGTCAATCCCAGTTCCCTCTTCCTCCCCTCCTCCCCTGCCCCCACCAATCCCCAACTCCATCCCCTCTCTATTCCCCAGGGAGGGTGAGGCCTTCCATAGGGGATCTTCAAAGTCTGTCATATAATTTAAATCAGGGCCTAGACACTCCCCCATGTATCTAGGCTGAGAGAGTAACCCTGTATGTGGAGTGGGCTCTCAAAGTCCATTCGCATACTAGGCATAAATACTGATCACTACCAGAGGACCCATAGTTGCCCAGACCTCCAAACTGACATCCATGTTCAGGGGTCTGGGACAGTCCTATGCTGGTTTCCCAGCTATCAGTCTGGGGCACATGAGCTGCCTTTTGTTCAGGTCAGCTGTTTCTGTGGGTTTCTCCAGCCTGATCTTGACCTCTTTGCTTATCACTCCTCCCTCTCTGCAACTGGATTCCAGGAGTTCAGTGTTTAGCTGTGGGTATCTGCCTCTGCTTCCATCAGCTACTGGATGAAGGCTCTAGGATGGCATATAAGGTAGTCATCAATCTCATTATTAGAGAAGGGCATTTAAGATAACCTCTCCACTACTGCTTAGATTGTTAGTTGTCATCCTTGTAGATCTCTGGACATTTCCCTAGTGCCAGATTTCTCTTTAAACCTAAAATGGCTCTCTCTATTATGGTATCTCTTTTCTTGCTCTCCTCTATTCTTTTCCTGACTAGATCTTCCTGTTCCCTCATGTCCTCTCCTCTCCTCCTCTTTACCTCTACTCTTTCTCCTAACTCGGTCTCCCCCCTTGATGGGGAAAGTCCTTCTGTGTATGTTTGTCTGATTGGTTGATAAATAAAGCACTGTTGGCCAATAGGGAAGCAAGATAGGTGGGACTAGGAGGCAAGGAGGATTCTGGGAAATGTAGTCAAGAGTAGAGGGTTGCCATGTGATCCCTGGAGGAGAGGGTGCAAGTTTGGCATTCTCCGTTAGATATGACCTTATAAAAATATATATCAGTAATCATGGGTTAATAATTAAGTCAGAGCTAGCTATTAAGAAATTATAGCAAATGGCCAACACCTTTATAATTAATATAACATCCTGTGTGTTCGTTTGAGAGTGATGCAGCTCTGGAACCAGGCTAGTGGGAAGAATGCTCATTACACCCCTCTCATGCTCCCAATTAGCTCCCCCTTCTCTGGGGGAGCATGTGTGTCTCCCTTAGGGAGCTCCTTTTTTCCTAGCTTCTTTGGAGGTGTGGATTGTAGCCTGGTAATCCTTTGCTCTATATCTAAAATCTGCATATGAATGAGTATATACCATGTTTGTCTTTTTGTGACTGGGTTACCTCACTCAAGATGGTTTCTTCTAGTTCCATCCATTTGCCTGTGAATTTCAAGATTCCATTGTTTTTTTTTCTGCTGAGTAATACTCCATTGTGTAAATGTACAACATTTTCTTTTTTGTTTTTTTCCAGTTTTTAAATTTAAATTAGAAACAAGAATGCTTCACATGTCAATCCCAGCTCCCTGTCCCTCCCTTCCTCCCTCTCTTCCCCACAAGACCACCAGTCCCCCACCCAATCCCCACTCCGTTCCCCAGGGAGGGCCTCACCCTCCCTGGGGATCTCCAGAGTCTGTCATTTCGTTCAAGGCAGGGTCTAGGCCCTCCCCATAGAGTCCAGGCTGAGAGAGCATCCTTCATTGTGGGATGGGCACCCAAAGTCCATTTGTATGCCAGGGCTAAATACTGAACTACTATCTTAGGCCCCATAGATTGCCTAGGCCTCCTCACTGACACCCACATTCAGCGGGTCTGGATCAGTCTCATGCTGGCCTCCCAGACATCAGTCAGGGGTCCAAGAGGTCCCCCTTCTTCAGGTCAGCTGTTTCTGTGGGTTTCACCAGTCCAGTCTTGACTCCTTTGCTCATCAGTCCTCCCTCTCTGTCACTGGATTCCAGGAGTTCAGTTCAGTGTTTAGCTGATACCACATTTTTTTAATCCATAGTTCAGTTGAGGTTGCTTTCAGGTTCTGGCTATTACAATAATGCTGCTATGAACATGATTGAACAGGTGCCCTTATTGTATGAATGTGCATCCTTTGGGTATGTGCCTAAGAGTGGAATTGCTGGATCTTGTGGTAGACTAATTCCCATTTTCCTGAGGAACTGCCATACTGATTTCCAATGTGGCTGTATGAGTTTGCACTCCCACCAGCCGTGGAGGAGTGTTTCCCTTTCTCCACATCCTCTCCAGCACAAACTGTTGTTGGTGTTTTTGATTTTAGCCATTTTGACAGGTGAAAGGTGGTATTTCAGAGTCATTTGATTTTCATTTCCCTGATGGCTAAGGATGTTGAGTACTTTCTTAAGTGTCTTTCAGCCATTTTAGATTCTTCTATTAAGAATTCTCTAATTAGTTCTGTACCCCACTTTTTAATTGGATAATTTGGTGTTTTGGTGACTAGCTTCTTGAGTTCTTTGTATATTTTGGAAACCAGTCCTCTGTCAGATGTGGGGTTGATGAAGATCTTTTCCCATTCTATGGGCTGCCATTTTGTCTTGTTGACTATGTCCTTTGCCTAGAGAAGTTTCTCAGTTTCAGGAGGTCCCATTTATTAATTGTCTATCTCAGTGTCTGTGTTATTGGTGTTATGTTCAGGAAGCAGTCTCCTGTACCAATTCATTCAAGAGTACCCCTACTTTCTCTTCTAAGTGGTTCAGTGTGGCTGGATTTATGTTGAGGTGTTTGATCCATATGGACTTAAGTTTTTGCATGGTGATAGATATGGATCTATCTGTAGTCTTCTACATGCCAGCATCCAGTTATGCCAGCACCATTTGTTGAAGATGCTTTCTTTCTTTCATTGTATAATTTTAGCTTCTTTGTCAAAAATCAGGTGTTTGTAGGTGTATGGTTACATATCAGGGTTTTCTATTTGATTCCATTGGTCTACCTGTCTATTTTTGTGCCAATACCAAGTTGTTTTCAGGACTATAGCTCTATAATAGAGCTTGAAGTCAGGGATGCTGATGCCTCCACAAGTTCCTTTATTGTACAGGGATGTTTTGGCTATCCTGGGGTTTTTTTGTTTTTCCATATAAAGTCAAGTGTTACTCTTTCAAGGTCTGTGAAGAATTGTGCTGGTATTTTGATGGGGATTGCATTGAATGTGTAGATTGCTTTTGGCAAGATTGCCCTTTTTGCTATGTTGATCTTTGCTATGGGAGATCTTTCCATTTTCTGGTAACTTCTTTAGTTAAAGACTCAAAGTTCTTGTTATGCAGATATTTCACTTGTTTGCTTAGAGTTACCCCAAGGTATTTTGTTGTTGTTGTTGTTGTTTGTGGCTATTGTAAAGGGTGATGTTTCTCTGATATCTTCCTCAGCCCATTTATCATCTGTATATATTAGGGTTACTGATTTTTTTTTAGTTAATCTTGCATCCTGACACTTTGCTGAAGGTGTTTTTCAGCTGTAGGAGTTCCCTGGTAGAATTTTTCAGGTCACTTATGTAAGCTATCATATCATCTGCAAATAGTGAAAGGTGACTTCTTCATTTCTAATTTGTATCCCCTTGATCTCCCTTTGTTGTCTTATTGCTCTAACTAGAACTTCAAGCACAATATTGAAGAGATATGGAGATAATGGACAGCCTTGTCTGATTTTAGAGGAATTGCATTGGATTTCTCTCCAGTTAGTTTGATGTTGGCTGTTGGTTTGCTGTGTATTGCTTTTGTTATGTTTAGTTATGTTCCTGTTATCCCTGATCTCTCCAAGACCTTTATCATGAAGGTGTGTTGGATATTGTCAAAGGCTTTTTCCAGCATCTAGTAAAACGATCATGTGATTTTTCTTTTTCATTTTATTCATTTATTTATTTATTTACTATTTTTGCTCTTTGAGACAGGGCTTCCCTTTGTAGCTTTGAAACCTGTCCTGGAACTAGCTTTTGTAGACCATGCTGGTCTCGAACTCACAAAGATCTGCCTACCTCTGCCTCCGAAGTGCTGGGATTGAAGGTATCTGCCACCAATGCCTGGCTTTCAGTTTGTTTATATAGTGAGTCACATTTATGGATTTTCATATGTTAAACCATCGCTGCATCTCTGGGATGAAGCCTACTTGATCATGGTGGATGATTTTTTCTGATGTGTTCTTGGATTCGATTTACCAGTATCTTATTGAGTATTTTTTGCATCAATGTTAATGAAGGCTATTGGTCTGTAGTTCTCTTTCTTAGTTTTGTCTTTGTTTAGATTTGGTACCAAGGTTATTGAAGGCTCATAAAATGAGTTTGGCAATGACCTTTCTGCTTATATTGTGTGGAATGCTCTGAGCTTAGTTGGTTTTAGTTCTTCTTTGAATTTCTGGTAGAGTTCTGCACTGAAACCATCTGGCCCTGGGATTTTTTTCGGTTGGGAGACTTTTGATGACTGCTTCTATTTCATTAAGGGTTAGAGGTCTATTAAATTGCTCATCTCTTCTTGATTTAATTTTGATTAGTGATATCTACCTAGAAAATTGTCCATTTCCTTTCAATTTTTGAAGTTTGTGGAGTTCAGGTTGACTCTCTGGATTCCCTCATTGTCCATTTTTATGTCCCCCTTTTCATTTCTAATTTTGTTAATTTGCATGTTCACTCTCTGCCTTTGGTAAGTTTGGATAAAGGTTTGCCTATCTTGTTGATTTTCTTGAAGAACCAACTCTTTGTTACATTGATTCTTTGTATTGTTTTATTTGTTT